AGAGGCTCGACGCATTTACCGTCGACGTTTTTCCCACCGACACATCCCTAACAGAAGAACATTCGTTCAAGTTTCACTAGTCTGCCGCGTGCACACGTGGTATACATCGGCTGTGTAGCAATAGGTTAAGCGCTGTTGCCACGTTGTGATGAAACTCCCCAATATTAATACTCGCTGTTTTTTGAAAACTGTTAATGTTACGCCTCTGTAATAAACAACTTTTTTATTCATTTATGATTATGATCACTCTATCTCATGCTGAAGTAATGGCAGTCAAACCTCTTATACCCTATATCTTCGACTAAAACATTTGAATATATGCTTTTCGTCACTCGGTTTGATAAAATGCACTTTTAAATCTATAACGTATTAAACGAATATCAATATTTACATCTATCCTATACAATTTTAAACGCAATTAATTACATATGCATTTTCCTTTTGAACGATATATATCTATATGTTTCGTAAATTATTACGTATTAAAACTATCAACATAAAAATATTGGAAACGGATTAACGGAATTACGCGGAGCTTAAACTCTCAACAGAAACAGTGTTGGTAGCATTTTATTGTCCACATACGATTACTTTATCTATTACCACGTTACATGTTAGTAATGTTAGAGTGTTAGTACAACGTATTATTAAACATTGTACAAAGAAGTATGAATTTTATATAGCATTAGCGTTTACAGTCATTTGTTAGGTCATTTTAGAACTGTATGAATTTACTATGAAGCAATAACAGTTTAACATTCTTTCGTTGTTAATTAAAAAATCTACACCGAAGTAGAGATTTCTCACTTTTTTATGATATAGTCATAATTTAACAAAATAATTAAAAGCACTAGTATTGGATATTGTCATATCCCGTCCTCTCCATTAGTTCTTTCTTGCGATATTAGTCGTTAACTGAGCCTTGACCTCGCGGAATTGGGTTATTGCGGATTCCTATTCCCATAACAATGCACCGTATTTGGAGAATGTACGCTGACAGATTCTCGCTGGTTAGCCTTTTTCCATTTCGGCTTTTTCTAGAGCTTAGAACTTGAAACCTGGTATGGTACATTCTGTTGTAGTTGCGTATAATTATTCGACACACTTTTAATGACACTTTCGATTGAATTTCTTTGAATTTTTTTGTTTTTAAGCACTTTTTGTAATCTTTCAGTGTCTTTTTTTTTGGTCTATTGAGCAGTTGTGTATCAGATGCAGGACTTGAGTGAAACCTAGTCAATTTGGACGCTAGATCCAATCTGAGTTGAGCTTACAACAAATTATAGCAATTTGTATTATCTATCTATCTAAAAAGTTTACTGGATATTGTTGTGTATATTGGTTTGGATAATATTTGGTTCGATAAGCTGTATACGCAGCGATGAAAGCTAACCGGTCTCACAACACATACTGGCCAGGTATTAGGTCCTGATGAGTGATTTGCGGATGAACAGAGTCGACGTTCAGTCGCACCTCTTGACGGCTCCGCCAGATTTCCATTATGGATTTTCGAATTTTGGGCACTCTGAATGAAGGGGTTTCTACCTTTCCTAGAACGATATTGATCCGTTGTCCGAGGTGATTCAGCTTTTAGTGTCGACTATGTCGCATGGTTGGACGGTGTGTTTGACGATTCATGCGCGAATTTTGTGAATTTCATGCAGATTTTCCAGAAAATTTCAAACATCCACCACATCGGATTTTATAAGCACTATATACTCTACCGGCGGAATTCGAAAGATCGGTAAAAATTTTGTTTTTTTTTTTAACCGGTATTGTCTGGGTGGCTTAAGTAACATGCTAGATGTTCTGGGTCATGTACTGCCTCCTCTAACTGATTTTGTACTCTACCGGCGAGTTGTTGATGTGGATTAGAAACATGGGTGAAATTTGAAGCAGCTTCTCACACGACAATACATTCACTATTTTTTGCATTCAATAGCTTAATTACTAATTAAAATAATTTTCGTTTGTTTTTGTTAGAGGGATGAAAAGGAAATTGGAAATTGTAAAAAGTACACAAAATAATTCTTTGACGGACGAACTTGGATGTTCATAACAGTGGCGTACCCAGAAAAGTTTTGAAGGGAGCTGAAGAGCCGAAGGGGAGTCGAATGAAATGTGTTAAAAAAGGGTTTTGTGATAACCAAAAAAAAAAAGGAGAATATATTTTTCTATTTTCACGCTCGAAAGTTTGAGGAGGAAGGTATGCCCTCCTACTGGTCCGACCTGGTTATACCAGTGGTTGATAGTAACATCCAGGTGGGAATTTTTGCATACGTTTTAAAAATTTTATACGCCTGTAAAAAAACACCCGCAAGTCTGGTTGTTCAATACAAGTGGGAGTAAATATTCAGGTTCGGCCTTTAAGTAGAGAGTAGAGGCTACCTTAAACTTTTTTTGCAATATGAAATTAATCAGTTATGGACACACATTTCCATATTTTTTTGCTAGTTTGCCATTAATCAAATAGCTTACAAACGCCGCGCCGTATATATTAATTAATTGTTTGTTTATTCCAAAATGCTTTCGACGAAACCATTATTTGATACAAGTTAATTTAATTGTGGTTCCTATTTTTAAAATAGTGATAAATTAATTCCGCGTAGTGCTTCATTAATTCATTAATGGTTTCGGTGCAATTAGTGAGAGTAACAAACACTACTGTATAATTTACGCAGCACATTTGATATTATGTGGTTCACCTTGTATTTTGTAATGAATGGGGGTTTTCGTGGCTACTGTTTTGAAATATAGAAGCCAGGGATGTACTTACGGCGCGGAGAAGTCAAAATAGGCGATTAAAAAAATAACAACAAATATTGAATCGTTTATTTAAAAATATGCCTCGCATTTCATGTTCCAAATGTCGAAGAAGTCTTTGGGTCGTAGGGAAAAATTAGAATTACTTTTTATGTAAAAATGTGGGACTCTACTAGAATAAATATTAGAGGGGATTATTCAATTGTTTGTAACAACATGTCCAGAAACAGAAACAGAGAAAAAACAGATTTTTAAGTAACTTTTTTCAAGAACCCTCTTCCCCGGGGATTGTTATTCACACAGGGTATTTTGAAAACTTACTTAAATTTTTTTGGATATGTTGTGAATCACCTCGTATAATAGAGATATATCTTTATAATATTATTATTTATATTATAATTTCTTGAGAAATCTTTTCTTTTAAGTGATTATTTGTTCTCCCTTTATATAGTTTATTCTTTAAAGTACCCCCAGAGAAAAAAAATCTATCGGGGACTTCGGGAAGGCCACAAAATTGTACCTATCCAGTCAATATAAATGTTGTCTAGGTGCTGCTTAACGGCATTTATTCTGTGTGCTGGAGCGCCGTCTTGCTGCCAAACAATATTTTGCACATCAAGGGCATTTACCAAATAAAATATTTCTCCTCTGAAAAGTTCAATGTATTTCGCTCCATTCAAAGAGCTTTTATACAATACTGGACTAAAGACGGTATATCGAAAAATACCACAACAGACTGAAATACTGTTTTGTCTCTGAATATATTTGTGTGGATTTTCTGACGCCCAGTCTTGTGAATTCCTTCTATTAAAAACTCCACTTGTAAAAGTGGCTTCCTCAGTCCACAAGATAGAATCTAATAAATTATAAAAATAAATAATAATAGCAATATCAAACATGGTGGCAGTGCTAATAGTAGTAGTGCTACCGGTGACGCAGTTTCCTTATAATTTTTGTATCGGGTTTTACTTTTAAAACTCTCAATCGAACTCCAAATACCTCGAAGCATCGAGAATCGAATGTTCTGGGTTTTTTAAAGTAAAATAAAATAATTTCATCTTAGAACGTTGTGGGGTTTATTTCTCCATTTGTTGTAGATATATCCGATATACATTTTATGAGGTATGCGACTTGCGGGAAATCTTCGTGCATGTTCGTGTCTAGTGCGCATGGCATCCTCACAAGAAAGATAGCATTCAACAATATAATTTTTTCATCAACACTATAATTATACACCATTTTCAAAGCAGTACGACAATAATGTTACATCTGTCAAATGTTCGATGCTATGACAACATAATATACATATTTTACAAGCGATTTTGATATTTATTGTTCATTATACAAATTTGTTCCAAATTCTTGTTATAGTCACTGGTAGGGCACCACCGCGCACTTAGAATGTTTTCAACTTTTTTAGCGGAAAGTCAAGAAATGCCATTTTTTCAACACGATCTAACGACTTTATGGATTGTCCAGACTTTAGAGTTATTATACGTATTTGTAGGAAATTGTGTCTACTTTAATTTGGTAATAGTTAAAAAACTGAAAAAAGTGCGGAAAATTTGAGGTTTTTTGTGAAGCCTACGCTTGGCGAGGTGGAAAACCTCAGATTCGGATTCAGCACCCCAAAAAACATATAGAACCGGCGAAAAAAAACTTTTTTCCTGGAAACGCCGTTTCTGAACCATGATGTATGAACTACACGCCACACGGTACTGTTAGATACTCCAACTTCTCGGCCAATGTCGGGAGTACTGCGCCTCGGATTTTCCTCAACGAGGTTTATGATGTTTTCTTCATTGTCGAAAACATGTTGCGACCTACATATGTCAGGTGAACATTGACGGTATCCCGTAACCTTTGAACTGCCATTTGCACTGTTTTTCTGTTAGGTTGTCGTGTGTTGCGGTAACAGATCGTATACAAACGACAAGTCTCATTTAAAACATTTTATACACCGGCTAAGTAATAAAGCAATATACAACTAAAGAATACAAGACATACCGACTACAACATAAGATTTTCTTGATTGTAGTAGCGCTTCACGCATGTAGCGAGTCCGAAGCGTGGCTGTGCGCGTGCGCAAGATGCACTGGGTCGGCTTACATTGGTGGTTAAATTTTTTAATTAATTTTCTCGAAAATTTACACCATCGGTTGCTTAATAGCTCATTTTCATGCCCTCTATCTATTAATTGCATAAAGTAATTACTAATGGTTTTGTTTTGTTTTTAGTCGATGCATTGGAGTACCCCGAAAACTAAGGATCGCATGCTGGAATCGGGGGGATCGTCTGGCCCTTCCAGCTTGGGAGCGGGCGGCACGACGGCCGCCCAGCGGCGCGCCTCGGAGGGTGGCGCCAACCTACATTGGGGCGGCCGCAGCGGCGTCGGCTCAGCTTGGGGTGCCGGTGACGCGCCCAGCGAGGTTGTCAACAAGTTCAGAAATTACGAGATTTAAAACGTCATGCCCCCCATCCCATGTCATGTGTCATGTCGTTCGTGTATCCAAGTCCTTAACAGTAGCAAGCCGTTCACTTGTTCAATTCTCTTTGGGTGCCTTAAAAATTACAAAATAAAGAAAGAATCGTATTTAAAACCGGAACCACTATTATTTTAATTAATCAGAAGTATCTTGGGTATGAGTTAAATAAGTAACAATCCCTAAATAGAAAACTGGACATAATATTTTCAAAATTAAAACTTTTAAGGCGCCCATTTAAAATTATGAATGTCAAAATCTCAAGTACTTAAGTGGTATATATCATACCTCCTATTCAATAAAATTCCTAGGGTATCTTATACCGTCAGTACCAAAAGTAAGTAACTTTTATTTATTCTATTTTTTTGTTATTACATTTTTCATATAGTTCTGAAGGGCGTGATTCTTCAAAACTACCTTGATCTGAAAAAAATAATGAGAAAAGGGTTATATTTATACTAAATATTTTCGTTTAAATATGTGAATGTATGAGATACCCTGTCTAAAATACAATTAAGCGTATAGATAATATTTTCTGAACGTATTTAACTTCGACTGGTATTACTTAGACGTTTCATTATATTTTTGATATTAATTCCAGTGGCATTTTGTCGACAATCTATTTTTGTATTTGGACCAACCAATTCTTTATCCATTATTGTAATGTGATATTAGTTATGTATTTAAGTACCTAGTTGAAAACCTAGTATAGCATTTTTTGACCCGTTCTATCCTAATAATTTAAATTTATTTCCCCCTTAACGATTTCCTAGGTTGCCCCCTATTGATTTCTCTAAATGTTAAATGTGTATAAAGTTTACAGCATTTCGTCTGCATGGTGATACTGTAACCACACCTGTAGGGAATGCCAATTTCAATTACAGATGCGGGGATGATGTAATACCAATTCCTGAAATCTGAATGTACAAGTTTTTAAAAAATTCAACGAAATATCAGACCCTTTAGGTTTGTGGTCCCTACTAATAATCGTAGATGTTTGATACTAGATGGCGCTTGTCTTTGTTTCAGTTCGTGAGGCACTAGATGGCGTGCGGCGAATTGTGATATTACATCATTTTCCGCGTGTGTCTCTGTGTACTGAATGTTACAATTGTGTATATCTTCGTTTCTTATTCTTGATCAGGGTAAGCACAAACTGTCCATATCCCTATACACCTCTGTATTTTGATATATGTATGTTGTCACATTATAATCATATGTTATATACATTATGAAAAATATATTTATAAATGTTTGAAGTAAATAAATCTATAATAAGACGTTCCTGTTAACCTTTTATTATAATTATTTTTTGTGTAACCTGTAAAGTAGGGAACCAGTCTTTGTTAGAGGGTTAAATCTTGTGTATACTGTATAGTCAAAATTTTTATATTAACTTTTGAAACTGTATATACTTTCCAAATGGTATTTCCCTTTGTGTTCCAAAATAGAGAAGCATGTACAAAAATTTGGACAACTGCCTTACACCGTCATCCCAAGTGCACTAAACCGGAAGCAGCCTGTGACTTATTGAATCCCCAGAACACTTTTCAGAACTTAATGTTATTTTTTGAATATTTACTTTACAGTCGTTGCCAAGGTCGCCCATCAAAGCGAAGGAGAAAGCGTCGGGGGGATCTTCTGGTCCTTCAAGCCTGAACACTGGAGCTTTGCCAGCAGCGTACCGTAGGGCTTCAGAGGGCGGCACCAATTTGTACATGAAGGGGCGTAAAGCCGCCTCTGGATCAGGCATTGAGAAGACAAATGAGATATAAAATGACTAAGTTATCATATTGCATTATGTTCGTAAAGGGAAAAGTTTTAGGTGAACTATATTCTCCATAAAATTCATACTAATGAGGTCTCGTAATTTCTTTGTACTTTTCTCTAGTATCCTTTTAAGTTTTCTTATAAATTATCTCCGTGAATTACCCTTTATCCCAAATCCTTAATTGTCATGCTATTCCTGACATGGTAATATTGTAATTTTATGAGAAATCTAAATAAAATAATTTAGTTTAAAAAGCAAAGGCTTCCATTGCTTTTCATTTAATATCCAAAGTATTATGTTTGAGAAACTGTCTATTTTAACATGTTTCGATTATTGCTACTATTATTACTTAAATTATACATTGTGAGCTGACCATGTGCGGAATATGCTTTGCGTGGGAAATTTAACCTGAAAAATTTCACCCTTAATAAAAATAAAATATTTTGGGCAGACGCATACTAATCACTGTCCGCATTGTCGTCAATAATTTTCCTCTGGCGTTTCAGACAATCGCGCCCTACGTTCGGCGCCATATCTTTCATCATCATTATTACTTCGGGGATTACCGGCATTTTTACCGAACTCCTCATGTACTGCCTGTGGTGCCAACTTCAACGGACGCTTGGAGGTGTGGAAGTAGCAAGCATCAGAGGCAAGGTAGGTTCATGGAAGAGTAGTCAACTTTACTTGTGCACCCTCATGGTAACATGGTTTTGGAAACTTTCAACTGACTCTGGTTGTACTAATTATGTTTTGGGGACACCGAGTGTGGTTACTCTCGTGTTTTTGTGGCCTTGCCATGCCTAGCACTGTTATTGAAGCCTCTGGAAAGTACCTACCTGAAAAATTGGAAGCTTGAGGAGCTTGTGTAGACCTCCTGGGAGTACCTATGGCTTTGGAAGCCTTTAGGAGATTGTTGTATCCCACGGCATCTGGTTTTATATGTCTGTTCCCTCAATTCGAATGTCGCATTATTATTTAGAGATTTATTTTCTGAAATCCGAAACTAGGGTGATATTTCAACTGTGCTGTTGTTTCGGTATTTCGAGTACCTCTTCATCTCCATTGAGAACTTAGGCGGAAATTTTGGAAACATAGTCGAAAATTTTATTCGCCGATCCGCGCCTTTTGCTTCTCGTAAAGAGTAGTGTGAGTCCCCTTGGTCACGATTTGCACTGCGCAAACTGATTGGAGACGGTTATGTCAATTCAAACATTAGCCATTAAATAAAAGGGCCCTAGCCGGCGGGGCCCAGCCAGGACAAAAGGAGGTCCCACAAAGCGCCTACACCGGCCGCATTTGCGGTCGGGGTAGACGACGGATGGGGCCCACCTACGAAGGCTGTCCAGGCCTACACGAGATGAGGCAGGATAAAGAGGGATAATCCCCCTCGATCCCAAATCATTGAGGCCAATTTCTAGCCATGGAATAATGGCGCGATCCATTAAATAGTCAATCACGTATCTGCACGAGAGAGAAAGATGGTATTCAAACTCTCTGTCACTCGTCTACTGTGTCGCCGCAAGTATGTAGTATATGCTCTAAAGTCAGAATTGATGTTTGGGTTTCAATATTTTATATACACACAGTCTTGGACTACCTGTGCATATACATAAAATGGTTTCACTAAACATTGTTGCTTTTCTTTAAAAGGCCAAAACATTGTCAAATTTGGTTTTAGGTATCAATCAAATCAACGATTGACTCAGGGAGACTAGACAGGGAGTTCGGATACCGGTTTCCGTACGGGAATTTCAATACACGGCCCTTCGAGCATATACTACTGGAGGTAGCATGCCATTGCGAAAAATGTAGCTGAGTGTGCGAGAGAGACAGACAGTATCTCTGTACTTGCTGTCTCACTCTAGTACGCGCGCGACTAGTTGGAAATGAATGCTCGCGCTCATTGGCTCCCGCAGGGCTCCCGTCGTTGAAGCGAAGAATGAGACAGTATGTACCGAGATCTTGTCTGTCTCTCTCGCACATTCAGTCACACTTTTCGCAATGGCAACACTTATCGACATATTCGTCATTGGTATAAATATTATTTGCCACTAATTATTGGTTGACAGAAAGTGCCAATTTATTAATATGATAAACAACAATTTATTTGTTATGACATCCGCCTACTTTATTATTACAAATTTTTGCAATTACCCCTTTAGTGAACGATGACGCATCTAATTTTTTTACTAGAAAACTATCGATTTTATCGAAAAATTACAAGAGGTAAAAAAGTTGCGCAATAAATCAGTCTTCCCAATAAATATTTTTAAGTAAATAATTTGCTTTATTTAAAAAATTTCTTATAAAATATTGCAATGGGGTTGACTGTTTCACTCCTTTATAAAATACGCCAATACGCGAAAAAAAATTGAAAAATTGTCTCTTTATTAGTAGGATGCTCATACCAAGTTTTTCGTGTCTCTAGCATTCCCCATGTTAAAGAAAAAAAAATAAAATGTGAATTTGAATCCCCTCCTGTAAGAGGGAATATCGCCTCAAGGGTGCAACTTTCATATAATGCATTTTTACTTCAATGCTCTTATTTTTGGCTCTACATTCACTGGTACCATTTTTGCTACTTCATTTAAAGACACCCTGTATATGTCACATAAAGTTATTGTTTCAAGTGAAAGTAACAGATGGCGCTTCAAGAGCGACATCTATAGGTGAAAGTATTAAGATGACATTTTAAATAAAGGCAGTAGAAAGTACGCAGTGTGCAGGGTTAAGACTTGCAAAACAGTTCCATTTAAATTTGCAGAAAAATGCAGATTTTGAAAGTGTGATAGGTATTTGATCTGTCTCTTAAGTGTAGGGTTTCAGATAAATATTAAAGATGGCACTTTAAATGATCTATTTGATTGTAACTCAAAAGCAACCACCTAATTTTCAGATTCAATAATAGAGGAACTTTTAATGTCTAAAATTAACAATGCCGTCTATGATCTAGTACGTGAAGCATTAAGTTTGAGAGAAAATAAAAGATTATACTTTAAAGTTATCTGTTTCCTTTGTAAAGAACAATGGCGACAATGAGGTAGTATTTTGATGGGCGCCGCCCATAGGGGAGTGTCAGAATTGCGGATTTGTATTAACCTGCCTACTATACAGGGTGATTCAGAACTTTTCCAAAAAAAAATTCTGGATGTACAGGGGACCCTTACAAATACAATTTTGTAAAGAAAAAATCAAAAAGGTCAGTTCGAAATTGATTTAAAAATACACTTCTGCACGGCACTGGAAACTGGTCCACTGTAAAACCTGACCCCGCACAATGCGAGCGGTATGGCGGCGTGATAAAAACGAACAAAAACTTTCGCAAGGAAAGAAATATGTAAATAGAATTTTATTGCACCTATTTTATATCGGCAAATTCAAATACTTTTGCCTTTATTAATTATTAATAAAATTAATTTGTGTTTTTAAATAATAAAATCATTTGACATACCCGATGCTGCAACAGCAATTGTTCAAAATTTTATCCACTCACGTGTAAACACATTTGGGTCCATCTTACTCACCTTCTACGAACTAACACAAATGATGTCTTACTTCACCATAACACAAATACTTCACCATAATACAAATGTTGTCTTGCTTCACCATAAGTTAAAACGATATCCATCAACTCTGAGTTGCTATACACGCAAGCCATTTTTGACACTAACTACTAAAAAACTGATGTAAATACCACAGATAACAGGTAAAAACTACCGCAACGACGGATTTCAGTATTAGGAGTCACATGGCTCTCCACGCGTATTGCGAATGACGCTAGAGACTACAGTTGTCCAGCTATGTAGTGGTTTAATGTGCTATAACTTCAATAATTTTTTTCTCAGAAACTATAAGGATTTTACAAAAATTTTGTTTACAATATTGACTCCATTTCTCATGCCGCATCTATTCCCAAATTTTGTTGGATAAGTTGTGAATCACCCTGTATAAGCTTATTGTAACCATGAGTTTAATTTTGGCTAACGTCCTTTATTTTAACATAATCCATTTAAAAATCAAGGTATTATCATATCATTCAAATGTCAAATCTGATATGTCAAATCATTTTTCAATTTATCGGCGAAATGGGCGGGGCATTAAGACCCTATTGAGCCCCTAAAGAGCATCTATAAATATTTAGAAGCCATGTAGGCAACCAACACTACAAGGCTGGTACTATAACAAAAAACGCTTAAATCTTGGCGTCACCAATATTAATTATTCGTTTATAATGAACAATGACAAACTGTTACGTCTACGTTCGAGACAATGCGATCGCTGATTGGTTGATTGGAGTCTCGAGAAAAATTACACCAATCACAGATGGTGAACAGAATGTAGTTTTAATGTAATCCTCATTTTATTTAATTTAATTTTACCGGAATTTAATTGCCAACCTGAAGGAAATAAAAGTACTGTTCCAAACAAAATTACTGGTCATATGGCTTGTAATGATTTATAATCGCCACGCTACCAGAGTCGGTCGAGAGTGCGGTGGCAAGTATTTCTCGGCCAGGCTTCCTATTCTGGTCCGGGTTCGATCCCTGGCGTCGGCACTGGCAATGTCGTGTTTGTCCGCGTTCTTTCAAGTCTAGCCCCCTTCCGCACAACCTTTGGATTTGAGGGTTGTCTCATTTCTGTGGTGTGTTTTATATTGTATAAAGGCTCATCCTGTTGTGCCACTGACATGAAATACAAGATTCGCAATGAAAACAGTAAATAGGGCATTAATTTCAAAACAAAAAGTAGGGCATAAGTGACAAACAAACAATAAAATAATTATATATTTAAATATATTACATTTCACTATCTACACTATACGAGTCTTACAAAATTTGTCATATCCAATGTACAAACGCATTTCACTGGTACTGGTAGTATTTTGTACAAATGTTTAATAAAAAACGCAAAATCGATCCTTTAGAATCCGATATGTGCGTATTAATGTAGATATATTACAATAAAAAACAGTCTTTACAGATTTAATTTATTTCCATTAAACGACTTATACTTTCTTGGTCGATTATGCCGTTAAGTCCTCAGGGGGTCTCTCTAGGGTGCAGGGTCGTAAAAATTCTTGGCCCCGTTCGTGTATCCACTTATTTGATACTGAAATAGTCACAGATATGTAGAACTCAAAAAAGAGCACAAAAGAACTATCCTGCTTAAATATTAAATGCCACACAAACATATTTTAGAGGTCTCAGAGATGACACATTTTTAAAACTTACCCCACTTGGAACCGGCCAGAACAGGACATGCTGCATGCCTGGTAAGTTTGTCTCCATCTCCACTTGCGTGTAAGTTGTACCAGAAGGCTGCTGTCCCCTTTTTAGGCTTAAGAGCAACTCCCACTACTGGGAAGACGGTGGCACCACCTTGAGGCACATCGCTCATCTAAAACAAAAAGAAATTTATTTTTATTGAACAAAATTGTAAAATTTGTATAAGACTCACATAAAAGAGAACTGTTGCTATCCTATTCCCTGTCCCAAGACTCTTAAAGGCATTCTTTTCGTCTCTCTGCAATAAAAAGGCACATATTTAATGTAATAAAAAGCGAAACATATGCTACTCACCCTAGCAAAGTCGAAATGGGGCTCATAGTGCCCTCCTATACCATAATTGACCACTTGCAATTCCTCCGCGGTGGTCATGGTAAGCCCCGTCATGTCCGTCACTCTTTTGGTGACATCGGCTATATGTTTGTGCTCTTCTTCTTTTAACCAAGCCGACTTACTTATTCTGTACTGCGCTATCTCCAATTCTCCTGTTTTTGAATTCTGGACTGTAGCTCTACGAAACTAAATGAGAGGGTATAAACTTTGTCCACTATAATGAAATATATTGTTCACTTACTCTTGGCACTGCCAATCTCTTTATGGTTTCTATCTCAGAATCCGTCAACACATCGTGGAAGATGAAAAGGTCTGGCTTATGATAAGCCTCCTCTACTTTAAAAGGGCCGATTAATAGGAAGGGGTTATCGTTGTTCACATATCGGCATTTCAATTTGGCCGTTACTTCCGCTGGGAGCTCAATTTCGCCTCTGCACAACATTTCATAGTGTTCTTTGCCATATGGGTCGTGTATATGTGGCTAAGTAAAAAGCAACAGTTTATATTACTACAAGCAACATAAAACTAAAAAAACATAGTGATTTTAATGATTTATCAAGTTGTATACAAATTAATACATATATAGTTGATTCGTATACTTTTTGGAAAGTTTCAACATCATTTAATGGGATGTTGAATACGTTCTTGCTGTTTTCATGAAAAGTAATGCTTCATTTTAAAAAATGACTAAAAAAACATGTCACTGCTACTTTTTCCCATCTTTCTGGCAGCATTTTAATTCCACGTCGGAAAAACGACACGTCTTTGAGGCTATTCGAGAGTCTACCCATTTTTTGGCATCTTCATAAAAATGGAAATGCTTCTCGATGAGCCATCGATTGGAACAAGTGACAATCAGAAAAGGGTAAAATGTAAAATCACTTTGCCGTGTCTCTGTTCGTTTAGCGGCCATTTTTCTTTCAATGCTCGGCTCACAAACGCACCAATTGTAGTCGATAGCGATCTCTCGTGATAGTTTCATTCAGTTTGAGCAGCTCATAATAAACTGCACCCAGCTGATCACACCAAATGCAGAGCAAAAGCTTGGAACCATGGATATTCATTCAACCTTGCCGACGATTTTGACGCATGGCATTATCGTAGCATACGATGCAAAAAACCTTTCCTTTTCTGCCGTTGAAGCAGCTGTTGCAGCACGTGCAAAGACGCCGTTCGACGTCTCTCGCTTCAACTCGTACGGCACCCAATGTCCTTGGCTTTGAATCATTATTAATGCTTTCAAACATTTCGAAAATGTAATGTGATCAACTCCTAATGATTCAGCTAGCGTCTAACATGTGTCTTCATGAGATAATGCATCTAATCTTTCATCTTCAAACTGTTTCGGTGCGACAGAGCGTTCTTTATCTTCAACATCAAAATCATTATGTTTGAAACGTATAAATCAATCTGCTGCAGATTTCTTTTGAATAAAGTATTGCAGTAAAATTCCCAGCAAATACTCTTTTTCCAGCACGACAATTAGACATATTTAACATTATGAAAAAAAAGTTTACACTTCGGCGAAATAACACACTGAACTTCAAGCTTGCTTATAGGCGTGTTACCATCCTAAATTACAAGCAAGCAGTTCTGATAATGCCATCTGTTGGAAAATAACAAGAACTTATTCAACGTTCCTATACTTTGGTGGAATTATTAGTATCTCTACCTCTTATTCTAATAGCAAGAATTAGCTCAGAAATGGCCGTCCTGTGGAAGATGGGGCGGATTAATTAGGAAGACTTAACATTAACTGATTGCGAAATGACGGAAATCTAGAAAACCTCATTGATGACGCGGTTGGTCGAACACCTCCCAGTATCAATATCTCGCACTGATTCAAGGCAACGTATTTCCCTCTATGAGTAATATAACTTTTTCTTTGAATGTTTTTCTTAACAAAGAGTAAGTACTTTTAGTTAAATGTCGGGGTCGGTAACCATACATAGGATCCCGGGATCAAAATTGTTGATCTTGAAATTTCAAAAGCGAATCCTGATTCCGAACGCAAGATCGTGCAATGAGGGGCGGGGGGCAAGTGAGATCCCATAACCAGGCGTTGATGGTGGTGCCGAAAGCAAATGCCAAAGTATATAACAGTGTTTGTCAAACTTTTTTTAGTCAACACGCACATTGGGCAAGAAAAATTTATTTCGCGGCAAAGCAAATAAAAATTGCAACAAAATTGAATATATTCGATATGAATAAAAATAAATACATTGTTAGTAATATCAAAATATTGTATTATCAAGATATAAATATATACGTTAAAAAGCAATTCTAAATTAGTTAAACAAACACGGATTTTTTATTATCTCGAAATGGAAACCCAAAATGCTAATAATTCTAACCCACAAAATGAGACTCTGTGAACAGGAGCCTTTTCCAAGATCATTACGCTCAGATATTTTTACTTATTTGTTAAACTTTTTGGCGATCTCGATTCACCTAGAATCTCTGGCGGCACATAGTTTGGCGGACACTGGTGTATATAACTACGTAAATATATTGATCTTTCCCTTTCCTATTATGATTATACATAAAAAATATCAATTTTATTACTTTCGTCACCTTGCAAAAACGATTATTATCGATTACCATATTAAGAATAGCTTATTAATGGTAGCATCCAAAAATTAATTTAATCTACATGATAATTGGCGTGTTATCCAGTCAGGGCCACAGTCGTATGAAAAAAAAATTATAAAGAATACATTGTCATAAGCAAAGCCTGCCCTAAACTTCAGTGTAGTGTAAAGAATTCAAATTTAGCCTTGGACTGCAGCTGGAGTTAGCTGTTTACAGCTAGAAAAATATTTAAAAAAAGAGAACAAATTTCATTCATAAACAAGATTTAAATTTAAGAGGATCGAATTTGTTCAGGGTGTTTTTTAAAAGGATTTTTACGAGTATTTTAGCGTATATATTTAGATCTACCGAATACACTGACGAGAGTTTTTCACTATGTTCAGCAGAATCAAAATGGTTTCAAAGTAGTACTCTTACACAATAGACAAAAACAAATTGTTATTGTGTTCTGAAAGATAATGCCTTTTATTAAACAACTGAGATGCCAATTTCCAAAATCCTAAATCCACTTTAACTAACATTACTACATTAACATTAGGAAACGCAAATATTTGCTTTCAACCACGAAATAGGGTTACTACAATTCCGAAGATAGACATTAATGGATATTATAGAATTATTTCATTTCGTGCTGCTCCTTTGCCAGTAAACTTTCTGATCGTTTCTTCTTTTTCTGAAGCACTCAGATATACAGGGCTGGAAAATCCACATGGTCCATCTGCCTTTACATGAGAGCGACAAAGTAAAGTAAAGAATCCGTGCGATAGTCAAGGATGGCTATAGTGAAGACGTTTCATAATCTGAATAGTCACCGCCCGTTTTGGGTTAGAAGTGGAAGTGACTATTCAGATTATGAAACGTCTTCAATGAACCATCCTTGTCTATCGCACGGATTTCTATGACTTCCTTTATCACATACTACACTTGACTTGAACCAACTCATCCACACCGTTGATCATGCAGGCTCGTAGTAACTGGATTGTTGGCGTTAACATTGCTTGCTCACCTCTTAACAGTGCTTGTTGTTGTTGTGGAATGCGGCAGTTACTCGCAGCACTCAGGTCTTACGATCCATTGTGCATGCCGCCTGAAAGAGTTTTTTAAAGAGGCCCGTGCTACGTACGAAGGCAAGCACTAGCTCTCTCTAGTATCTCTGATGATCTGAGGTTGGACAACACTTACATTTATTTCGCAATAAATAAGCCAATTAGAATAATAATCATACATAATTACCCTCTGTGGACATTAACCTAAGTAAATTATACTAGAAATTATAAATTAGCTCACCCCCTCTTCTACTATTTCCTCAGAGTCGTCGTCACCTTTCCTTTTGCTAAACGCCTTTTCCATTTCTTCCTCATAATACACTTTATTTCCTAGTGCCCGTTGGTGCGTAGGCAAAATTTCCAGAAGTTTGTTAGTCAGATCTAAAGCTAATGGGATATTACCTGAAATAATAACACTTAAATTATATTTTGCTACTATTTGTCCAAGTTAATTGCTTTACCTTGTTTATATGTAGAGAACGCCAAATATTCGAGGATGTCACTCCTATCCACCGTTTCGTTGGCTTCCCTCTTCAGTCTTGCATCTGCCTCTCTCATCCACAGCTGAGTGTGGTAAAAATCGCCGTTATTGTAGCTCTGTCTGCCCAACTCGAAGCAGTCCGCGGCACTTAGCTCAGAGCTATATTTGATGCCGTTCAATTCTCCCCTAGCCAATGACGAGGTGTCCAGTCTATAAACAGACAATTTAATGGCTCAACCATCACCTAATCGGTAAATATATGGTGATATGTTAGAAGGAAAAATACCGTCCATGTGTAAATGAATGCGGACTTTAATAAAAAAAAATACTGAAGAACAAAAATATGTTTTGTTTTTACTACAAGGTGTTGCAGAAAAGTACTGGGTGTCAAAATTATCTAAAAGTAAGGTTATCATTAATTTTTGCTGTTTTTTAAGGAATTGTGTAATTTTGATAAGAAAAATTGAAGCATGAATGGAAGAAAACATGATTGCAATACCTTCTTGTGCATGTCTATGTTTTACTATATTTTGGAGCAAACATTTCTTTTGTATACTTTTTCAATTCTTGACCAAATTGTACCAACTCATGTGACTTTCTTGAATATGTGATTAATTAATTTGTCTCTTTCTCTTAAGTGACAAACTCAGCTTTACAAAATCATTCAGTCAATAACAGTCAAATTATTTTAAATTAGTATTTAAAAGAAAAAAAAAATATTTATTTGTCAACAACATAAATATGTGGTTTTAGTTTGACAATAATTGTGAAAATCAACTGCACAAGGCCAAAACTATAAATTTTACAGTACATTTTATTCTCACTCATTAATAAAATCCGAATGTTCATTCATGAACGTGGCACATTTTAAACTTTTGATTTTTAATACGAATTTTTTCATTTGTCTAATTTTGTAATATTGGAATACAAATAACTTAAAATATCGATTTTAAGTTAATTTATTTCACAAATTAAATTAAGTAATAAATTAAGAGAACCTTTAACCAAAACTGTTGCCATAGTCGACATATCAAAATACAATATTTTTTTATGAACGGTAAGCATTTAAAAACAATATTCTTGAATCACAGGCGTGCACTGAAAGATATTAAAGGGTTAAGGGGTAAATGGCTGATGCAACCCCAACTTCTTCGTTCGTTTTTTTTACTAAAATAATACAAAGTGTGTCGATATGAGATACAGGTCTGTGCACAATTGAATATCTTAAAAGAGAAAGGAGTTATTTAAAATTAGTTTTATTGTTAACTTTGAAATCCTGTATCTTGAATAATCGTCCAAATAATAAATAGTTTAAGGAAAATCATATTATTTTTTGTCCAAAGAATGCAACTAAGGATCATCTACTTTTTTGTAACACCCTGTGTCTAAAATGTTTTAACTTTTTAAAATTCACCTGTAAGTGTCCTGAAGACGAGTCAAAGCAACTGCTGCTCCGTTCAAATCTTCATCGGTTGGAAATTTCATTGTTTCCTTGAAGTAAGTTATGTTTGCCATGTAATCTAGGGCAGTAAAGGATGAGAAAGTACATATACATACACTGAGAGTGAAGGCTTTACTCTAGGTATACGTATATTTATTTATTATTGCCAAATCAAAGTATTAAAAATAATGATGATGATGATGATGATGATGATGATGGTGATGATGATGCTGATGAGTACGACGGATGACATCAACTAAGGATGACGAGTGGACGACGACCGAGGAAGGCGACTGATGACGACGACTGTTGACGACGATTGATGTCGACAGATTGATGATGATGGTGGACGACGATGATGATGATGATATTGATGGATGACGATGGTGATGGGTGATGTTAAATGAAGATGATAAGGTGATGGTGATGGAAATTAACATAACAACGAACATGCAGAATTGTATTTCCGTTTTTATTTTTAATTGTCGTAAAAATTATAAGGTCACTTAACATGTGTGGAGAATGAAACAGATGTAAAGAAAACACGTACGCAATTCAATTAAGCTGTTATTAATTTGCTTAAGTTTAAATGTTCTGTTACTCACCAGTGCTTATATCTGTGCCCATTAAGGCTTCCACTTGCTTCCAATCCGTTGTCAGCCTTTTAACCAGCGTGTACGCGTTGATGGGGTTTGAAATATACATCTGGACATCCTCAGTGGCTTTGTCATGTTGTCTCTGATAGATATCTGCATATCTAAAGGAAACGACTTTAAAAGCATATTTCTAAATACATATAAGATATAACAATAATAATATATCTCATTTTAATAGCAGAGACTGGTCCAGAAATACGGACTTATGTGGTAGAAGGGATGACATTATCGAACTTCTCGAGACTCCTTAATACATATTTTGTTATTTTAATAATATGCATAGAGGTACCTACCTCTTTAATAAATCTATTTTTTGCTCTTCAGCTCTAATATAATTTTCCAGCGTATGGATCAGCACGGCTTCCGTGTTTAGTAGTTCCTCTAGTTCGGCAAGTGCTGTGAATACTTCGGAATTAACTAAGTGGGCCACGAGGGACAGCAGGAAGGCCGTCAGAAAGTGCGTGTGCATTTTGTTGGTGTCTGGTCCTGCAAGTATTTTAACATAATCAGATATACACGCACAATTTTCTTTCTAAGTCTGCATTATGTCGACAAGATATATTTTTAATATACATACAAGATATATTTTTAATATACATACATAAGGTGATTCATTAGAAGCTGGCAATATTGTAGATCTATAGTAGGATCGTATTCGATGCAAAGTAGAGCAAAAAATTGTCGGTCTTTTGTGTACAAAGTGGTCGGTTACACGTCAAATACTAACCTGACGAGCTTAGTGGTAAATCAGAGAACGCCTCCAAAAAAACAAGTAAACAACAATGGCGCGTATAGAGGTAAAATGTAGTACATATGTGGAATTTAAAAAACAAACTGGATTTATATTACATTTAAAATAGTGTATTAGAATAAAGAAATTTTTGTAGGAACAGGGGTGCCAGACGTGAACTGATCCCTTCATAATGCATAAATTATTCAATTTCTAAACCCCTTAAAACCGTATTGCACTGGATCCCTTGACTGGCAATGATTTATTACTTTGCATCGAATATGATTCTACTGTACGTTGGTTAAGGATTGAGATATGGAAATTAGTCCAGTTCCTCAGGGTTTTTACCTCCGAATTCTTTATAACTGAACTGATTGACGTGAAATTTTGACTGAATATGGGGAATGCCTCAAGGAACAAAACTTATATAGTGCCGAAGTGTGCTTTTGCCCTGGGGGTGTTTCCCACCCCTTCTCGGGGGTTTTACGCCCAAAATAACCACAGGAATCAATAGAGGAGTCAATTTTAAGTAATAAATGTCATATAAAGTTTTTTGGACAATCCAATACTTTCCGAGTAATTCGTCATTGAAAATGTTGACTTTTTACTGAAAAAGTGCTTGTTTTCGGAAAGTTTTTTGCAAATAACTGAAACCATTGGAATTAACGAAAAAGTTATAATGAACAAAAAGAAAGGTAATAAAAAAACAAATCTAATGGCATTATTTTGTTTTTCTCTAATTGCAATATAAACCGAGTTATGGATTTTTAAACATTATTATATGTTAGCTAAAACCTAAATTGGTACCAGTTAACGTTAAATAACGCCAAAACCATAAATATTAGGAAAAAAACTATTAGAACTTTTTTAAAGTACTTTGAAAAACCTTTAAAATGAGCTGTTTTAAAAGTCTTTAGAATCAAAATTAACGGAAATATTAATTAAAATTAAATGCAATCCATTTAAAGATTTCTTCATTTATGTTCTAAGAATATGTTCTGGGTCTTTGACTCACTTACAAAGCTTGATTTCGAAAAAAAATTAATTGTTGAAAATGTAAATTTTTTAAGTTTTTGAAAAAATTCGATTTTTACGCTGTAACATAAAAATTAAAGGGCGTACGAAAAAATACAAGAGTAAAAAAAAATAGCTTTATTTTTGCTGAAGATTTTGCTTCTATTTTTTATTTCTCTAAAATTAATATTAATCGAGATATCGCCATTTTAAGTTATCATATGAATTAGAGAACCACCCTTTTCGAGCCCTTTAAACCCTTCAAACTTAAAAATGAAGGGCTTAAAAAAGATCAACTCAACAGTTCACGTAGCCCTTACAATTCCCTGCAAAATGAACCTTTGTGCGATTAAAAATCTTAAAAAGTAAGAAAGTTATCGTCAAAAAAATAAATACGTGTATAGGTGATACTTCTGGAAAATTTAGGTCAAACAAGAATTTTGAAGCATTTAAGTCCTTTTTCTATATATATGTATTTAGTATGAGTGTATATTCGAATAAACCAGTACTATATTATAATAGAAGAAAATGATTTCGTTGGTTGGAATGGTTTTATGAGCATGATAACTAGTTAATAATTATGATGTATGAAACATACATTTTTTACCTTTTATCAATGGATCACCAAGTGATTACAACACCTTGTATACTGCTTTGGTAAAAGCTAGTGAAATTGCTTTGAAAGAAGGTATGAAAACTTGCATTATAATATTTTATAAGAAGGCAATCAATAATTATTTAATACGAATGCACATTTTTCTACTCTTTTATATTCATATATTTTTTCATTTTATTTTCGAAAGAAGAGGTATTTTTCAAGGGTTGAAAAGTTGCAATCGATAAAAAAGATTTTTTAATAAAGAAATCAATTTTAATTTGCATGATTAAAATGTTTCAAGTTGAACAAATTTTTTTATATTATTTTCAGCCAAAGGGGTGGTTTTTAAATGTTTTTCCGGGTTGAAAATTTGGGAGAAATTAAGTTTCATGTTAAATAGCACATGGAATCACTCATACTGCATAAATAAAAAAGATTTGATTACATAAAATACTTAAATTTGTTTTTTCTTTTTCTTCCAATAAGGGGTGGTTTCCACCCCTTAAGAACAAAAAGCACACCTAGCGCATATATGAGTTTTGAAGTGGGGGGTAAAATGAGCCTAATTCTAAATTTTGAGAAAGATCGGTGCAGTTATAAAAAATTCGGAGGTATTGCTATGTTTCCAGCTACAGTAACTGGGCTAAATGTAATATAGGCGAATTTCGTTTATGAAGAATTTTATAATATAATAAACAAACACATATTTTATGTGATACCCATATAAAAATATAAGGGAATTGAGTAAATGACATCCATAGGCGCACATCCTCAGGACATTCAACCACATTCAAATGAAAATAAATAGATTTAAATTACTCCAAGAGATGCAATAAATTAATACATTGTTTTTTACTGGTAAGGATGTAAATAAAAAACAATTATACCCTGTAAAGGGTAGAAAAAATCACGAAATACATATTACTTTTTGATTTTTTAAATTCTTCAATGAGAAGTTCATTTTTTTTTTTGAAGATAACTGAAATTAATAAATTGATACTTCTATTCTGCTTTAGATCAACGTAATTAATTTCTTGTTGGTTATACCATTTATACCCAGCCATTGAGACAAATTCCTTCCGCCTGATTAGAGAAAATGATATGTATTTGGTTTGTATGGCCTGGTGCATTCGAAAATTAAAAATAAATTAAGAGGAAAAAAAGCGGCCAAATTGGTTTATCTTTCAGAGCATAGCAATAGTTAAAATAAATAAATCATTACGTCTTGACTGTTGTTACAGAAAGCGTAATGGTTATGTTCTTGTGAATTTATGTTTTGCAAAAATTAAGTAAATAAAGGGTGTTTCAAAAGTAACACAGGATTTGAATTGTGCGCTATTTTCAGTCCCGTAAAGTAAACCATTTCTACGCACAAATTGGTGTGGGAAATCCCGCTCATCTACCTCGTAGAGAGTTTTGCCTCGTAATGGTAGACAAACGGGCAGTATTAGAAATAATTTTTGTTAACAACATTTTTTATAACTCTTACAAATGCCAGTTTACTTTAGAGATGATTTTGGATTTTCCAAATTATACCCAGTAAAAATGTTTAGAATTATAAGACTACTTCAAAGTTTCAAGAGAAGCAAACATTTTATGAAGTCACTTTTTACGAAAAAAAATTACAGGTATAATTCATCCAATCCGGGAACACATAATATATCTATACATAATCTCATCGAACACACTCTAAACGTTACTTCTGGATTTTATTCTTAGTGAAATGAATAAAGTGTCATTGAACAGTTGCATTTGTTTTATACATTCATATTGTGAATATTACAGAGAAGTTTATTATCAGTTATAATATCACAAGAGCATAGAAAATATTCGATTATACTTCCGAGTCACGAGACGTATTCTGCGAAACACCACGACAGCGTAGCTGGAGTGGTGTTTTAAGGATATACGTCGAGTGAGGAGGTTAGTATAATCGAATATTTTCGTTTGCTCGAGTGGTATTCGATACGATTATATAATTCAGAACTTGAACCGAAGCGTTCCATTTTTTTTGACGTTTATTGACAAATGTTAAAACTATCGTTACCATGACATAGTTCACATTGTTGGAGGAGGCGAAACACCAAAACGGTTATACCACGACGTCAAGAGTATAATCGCTTATCAATACATAGTAACTACGTAAAATTTATAATTGCTATTGGCTAAATTTCTAATGAATTATATAATCAAATAAACTAGAAATTTTATGCAGATCCCTTCCATGTTTCACGATCTGGCGACATCTCCAGGATTTTCTTAAAGCTACGAATGTACTTTACCCTTTTTGCTCTTGACTGACGGCCCACTCTTGAAAAATGTATTTTACAACTTATTGCATCAATATTTGTTAAATTGAATCGTGGTCAAATTTTTGTACCTACCTACACAAGAAATTAATAGTTGCATGATAAAATATTCAGTGAGTGGGTTCTATATACACATATCGTTTCTCTATTAATAAAAAAATCACTATCTAATTTATCTCGGTAACTTTAGAAACTAATTTACAATTATATATAATAGAATACATAGGTAATATGTTAAGTTTCATGTGCATACTTATTAATAGACACTATATTATTTCCCTATTCTCTGATTGAAAATCTACAAAGTTTAAGGACGCATTTAACCAACTAACATGATCTTTGATTAGGATGCAAATTATGTATTTTCTTAATAGTTCAGGATAATAATTCTGTCGGTACCTAAAGGTTAATTAACGACTTTCAAAAGCAGTAGCCATTATTCAAAGCATCGTAACAATTGCTTAGAGATAAACCTATTGTATTAAGTAGGTTTTTTCTTTCCATCGGCTCATAATGTTACAAGGACGTGCTCAAACCACTAATTTTACATTCCAATATAATACCTACTTATCTATTATTATTAGCAGTTTTTACAATATTGTTTTCTCTCTGACAGGTTCATTTTTAATGTCTCGTCATACAGCGCTGTTAGTCAACGAAGAAACACGCAAGACACGGCTAATTTGCATTAAAATATTAGGCATTATCACGAAGTAATTAATAAATGTGTGCAATTTCAGCGCACATTTATTACAAGTCACTTCCAAGTGGATTTGAAATACAGGGTGTTCTACAAGCTCTATGACAAACTTTGGCAGATGGTAGCTGGATTAAT